AGGCCTTCGCCACACTATACTATTCGAGTGCATGGGTTTTGCATATATGCATGGAATTTCTTTGGTTATTCTCTGCCCCTCCCTTTCCCCCTAATTTCTGTCAGTCTGTGCCAGACATGGCATGATTAGTTCAGGAACTAATCTTCCAGCTTTCCTTCTCTAAAAAACTTTTAAGTCCTCATTAAAACCTTAGACTCTTTTAATCAGAAGAGACTTTAAAGATTATACAGGGCCTAATATTTCAGATGATGAAATGAAGACTCAGGAAATAAATAATCATGTCTCAGGCCTAAATGTGTATTAATACCTAGTTATGACTAGGAGAGTGACCACTGTAGACCAATTAAGAAATGTTACTGAAAAGAAGTAAAGTAAACCTGAGTAGACTTGGAATGACTCAGAGGAGAGGGGACAAATGAAGAAGACATACTAGAAATAGAAAGAGAAAACTGGATAAAGAGAGGCTGACAGAAGAATATAAACACCATGTTTAAGAGGCAAAAATGTATCAATTTCACTGGAATAGAAGATTCATGTGGTTGGACAAGGGAAAGTGGAGACAGAACTAGTTAGGAAGCCACCAATAGTTTGGGTATAAAATGAATAGGGCTGCATTAGGGTTTCAGTAATGCCAAGAAGAGTGAAAGTCAAAGAATTCTTGAAGCATCAGTGACACTCGGTTGTGGAACAAAAGAAAACAAAAAGAGGTCAAGTTCATACGGGCTGGAGGTCGAGTTTGCTAGGGCATTTGTTAAATGCAGGAATTCCCATGTATGGGCCCTGATGCTTCTTCAGTCAGACTGTGGAAGTCAGCAGGTCTTGAGCAAACAGATTTGTTGCCAAAAACACAAATCAGTAATCTTAAAAGTTAATACTCTTTGACACTGTAATTCTCCTACTAGAAATTTCTCCTAAGAAAATAATCAGGATGTGCCCACAGACTTCTAAAATAGGGATGTTTGTGCTTATTGCAACCTTACTAATAAACAATCTAGATGCTCAATATGAGGGAATGATAAAATGATGAATAAATGCAAAACCTTGGTTTTGAAGAAAATGTAATAATATGTATAACATTACAACTAGGAAAACAATTTACCAGTGGAAATTTTCCAAGCCCCTGCCCTTAATCAATAAATATATCTTACCTGGTGGGACCCACTTAGCCCTCTTGCTTTCAGCCGAAGGACTGCGTATTTGTAATGGTTTCCTGGTGGCCTCTGAAGAAAGAGAAACCTTTTTTGGTGAGGGCTGAGATTCTGATTTGACGGCAGCTGGAGCAGAACCTACTGAAGTCGCTTATTTGGAAATACACACAAGATAGTTTGTTACAGAGGAAGATTAAGTCTAGCATGTATGTGTAAAAATTTTAGTTATATAATCTTAGAAAAATTAAAAAGGCAGTATCATTTTGAAAAACACTTATTAATCCATAAACATTTAGCGAGAGTCTAAGAATAGTCATCTTTTATGAGAATTTATATGATAAGCAGTGTAGTAAGCATATAATAAACATATCTTTAATCCTTAAAGCAACTCTGATACAGACATTACTATCCCCAATGTCGGCAAGGGAAACAGAGAGGCTAAGCAAATTGCGTGNTGATACAGACATTACTATCCCCAATGTCGGCAAGGGAAACAGAGAGGCTAAGCAACGTTTGATCACTGGTAAGTGTTATAAACAGGATTAGGAACCAGGTCTGACTCTGAAGTTCATACTCCTAAACACTGCACAACAGTGTCTCATCAGTGTGTGTCAGTGAGAAAATATATTTGGCTCTAAGGTTACAAAGAGTGTAACTCATAGATCCTGCTCCCAAGGAATTTCTATGGTCCAGGCACTGGACTCTAGTAGAAAGGGCAGCAAAATAAAGAGATGCATGTAATGCAGTGTGATAAGAGATACGACAGACTCCAGAGATGTGCCCGTAGGAGGGAACCTACACTCCATGTGTATATCTGCATAGGTTTAGAAGTCACAGGGAGGTGAGTGAGGTTAACTGGAGGCAAATCAAAGCTGGAAGGTAAAGATGAGTTAGAGGAAGTTTTTCAGGCAGAGGGAGTAAGAGCAAAGCTGGAGGATGCAGCGAGTTCCAGGACCAGCTACTGGTTCAGTATGGCTGGAGTCAGACGGCAAGGGTTGGAAAGGTGAGCGATGTAGACAGGGTGCAGGTCACTGATGGGGAGCTTTGCATAATAAGTGAAGGAGTCAAGCATTAATTTTTCTCAGGAGTACTTGCACTTTGAAAACATCTTTCTGATGGAAGTGTATGGCAATGTACCACTGAGAAGGCTCTTATGGTAATCCACGTGAGAGGTGATAAGGGCCTGAACTAAGGGGGAGAATGGAGGGGTAAAACAGCAGATTAGATATCTTTTAGTAATTAGACAGGGGGAGGTGGTGATAGAGATGAAATCATCATGACTTGCAAGTCCCTGTCATGGGCACTGCTTGATGGTGCCATTAACCCAGGGAATAAACACTGGAAGGGGGGTAAGTTTGGGTTTGTTTTTTTTTGGAGGGGGGGAGATGAAGGGAGGAAGACAGGGGGAATATAAATTTGCTTTCAGATAATGCTAGCTTTGAGATACCTCAGGGATATCTAAATGTGTATGAATATGAAAATTTTCACTATATAGTCTTCTTAATGTTAACACACTCCCTCAATCAGCACTGTTCAACAGAAGCTTTTGTGCGATGATGGAAATGTCCCATATTTCCATGTGCTGTGCAATTCAATAGCCACTAGGCACATATTGTTACTGAGCACTTGAAATGTGGTTAGCAAAACCAAAGAACCGACCTTTCAATTTATTTAATTTTAATTAACTTAATTGTAAAATAGCTACAAGAGGTTAGTAGCTAGCACACTGGACAGCACAGATCTAGAAACCTGCTCCCCCAAGGAAAAAATTACAACATGTGCCAGATGAAAGGCTCTCAAAGGCTACTCGATGCATTACTGGTGGAACTAGAAATATGACCCATCTCTTCTAATTCTTAATCCCATTACTTAGGAGTTAAATTATACTCCTAATATCATATATTAAAATTCCTTGTGAAGCAACTTGCTCCAAGGTATATAGAAGCCTTTATATGGTGAAGTCCAACTTGGAAACTAAAATTTTAGTTTTAGTTTTTAGTGTATTTTTTGAAGAAAGTACAAACATCTAAAGAAAATATAAAATATATTCATATTGTTAATGACTTTTTCTTTTTTGTAATCCTCACGTGAGGATATTTTTTCCACTGATTTTTTTAGAGAGAGTGGAAGAGGGGTAGGAGGGAGGGAGAGAAGGGGAGGAGGAAGGAAGAGAGAGAGAGAGAGGAGAGAGAGAAACATCAATGTGAGAGACACATCTATTGGTTGACTCCTGAACACGCCCCAACAGGGCCTGGGATCTAACCTGCAACCCAGGTATGTGCCCTTGGCTGAGATTCAAACCCGAGACCCTTTGGTGCGTGGGTCGACGCTCTAACCAAGTCACACTAGCCAGGGTGTTAATGACTTTTCATATCAGTTTGTGGTAGGCAAGATAATGGCATTTTGAAAATGTCTGTATCCTAATTCCCATACCACGTGCATATGTTACCTTACATAGCAAAGGGACTTAGCAGATGCTGTTAAGGATCTTAAAGTGGGGAGATTATTTTTAATTATCTGGCAGAGCCCAATGTTCTCACAAGGGTCCTTATAAGTGAAAGTGAGAAGCAGGGGAGTGAGAGTGAGATCGAAGTGATGTGAGCAAGTCCCTGCCATTGCTGGCTCTGAGGATGGCAGTGGGCATCTAGTCAAAGAACGCAGGTGGCCTCAAGAAGCTGGAAAAGACAGACATGGAGTCTCCCCACTAGAGCCTCCATAAAGGAACATGGTTCTGCTGAAAACTTGATTTTAGCCCAGTGAGAACCATTTTCAACTTGTGATCTGCGGAGTTGTAAAATAATACATTGTGGTATTTTTAAGCCACTAAATTTGTGGTAATTTTTTATAGCAGCAATTAGAAACTAATACACAGCTTTATCTCTAAAAGCCCCTATATTTGAAATGTAATTTCTTGAAACCAGATCAATCTGGCAATTAAAAATAATAATAATTTAAACCTCATTAACTCAGAATACAATGGAGAGAGGAACATGACTAAATCAGTATTTAATCCTTATTTCTTAGCAAGTACTCAACACCATGCTATTTAAGGTAAAAGCAACTCCCACCATTAAGAAATGGAGTCTGGATAAAGGAAATTTTAGCTTTAAAAAGCTTTTGTAGACCGGCCGGGCGTGGCTCAGCAGTTGAGCTTCGACCTAGGATCCAGGAAATCATGGTTTGATTCCCAGTCAGGGCACATGCCCAGGTTGCGGGCTCCATCCCCAGTCGGGGGCCTGCAGGAGGCAGCCGATCAATGACAACTCTCTCATCAATGACGACTCTCTCATTGTTGATGTTTCTCTCTCTCTCTCCTCCCTTCCTCTCTTTGAAATCAATAAAGATACATTTTTTAAAAAAAAGCTTTTGTAGTAAGCAAATAAGACATCAAAATATGTATCAAGTAATTGAAAATTATGTTATAATTTTATGTCATATATTATGAATTAAAAATATCCTCACTTCTTTTACAAAAGATATGTTACATGTTGAAATTGTCACAAAATGCAAAAGTTTTATTGTAAAAATAGTTTCAAATGGAAAAAAACAAAAAGGCCCTAAAAGGCAAAAGGGTTCTCAATCAAAGATTAATCAAGCATGAAAGCAAGAAGTCAGAATCATGCAAAGTTGCCTGTTCAATTGCCTGGAGAAAATATGGTCCAGTGGATTAGGGCCTGAATGGACAAACCTGGGCGCAAACCCTAGCCCCTCACTTATTAGTTGTAAGAATTCCAACAAATTATTTAACCTCTCTGAGTCTCAGTTTTCTCACTGCAAAATGCAGGTGATAACATCTCAGAGGGTGGCAGTCAGTGCTAAAGGGAGGTAATACATTGGATGTGCTAGGTAGGAGTGGAGCTCAGTACTTGTCTGCTGTTCTCCCTTTCCCACCCCTCCCTGCTTTCTTCTAGGTATTTTAACTGGAAATAAACACCTAAAAACTTTTAAGGAGAACAAAGGGAAAAATAAGAAAAACTCATTAAATAAACCAAATACATTTTCTTTATAAGTTTAAGTGTTTTGAACTAAGCTTACCTAATACATTACATTTGGATTTAGGTTTCTTCTCTTTCTTTTCAACTGGGGATTTAACCTTCACTTCTTTTTTCTTTCTTTCTTTACTTTTTCTCATAGTGAAGTCTTCATCATTATCTTCACTCTCACTAAAATCAGAATCGTCCTCAGAATCTTCACCTAAAACAAAAGATTACATGTTTCATCTTTGTTACAAAAAGTGAGGCTTCTATGGCCTTAACTTTATCTACAGCTTTTGCACCAGATTATTGTGTACCTTTGTGCTAAGTCTTTTCCTGCGTGAAACACTGCAGTTACGGAGAGCATGGCTGCCTGGGTTTGAATCCTGGCCCCTCCACCTACATGTTGTGTGCCTGTTTCCTATGTACATAAAGTGGGAAATAATCATAAAACCTACATCACAGGGTTGCTGCGTGGACTAAAAGAGTTAATATAGGTAAAGCATGTGCAATAACATCTGGCATACAGCAAGCAAAACAGCACTGTTTGCTATAACTATTATCATTATAATTTCCCATTAGTAATCTTTACTTCCGATTTTACCAGTTTAACTCAATAACTTTTGAAAAGAATAGTAGGGTATAACATTGGCTACTCTTTCAGAATGATAACCTTGATGGTATTAATAACAGTATACCTTCCCTTAATCACATAAACTTGAACATTCTAGAACAGAAACACATTGGGAATTGAGGAGACTAACATACCATAACAATCTTAACAGATAATGCTATGTGATTTCATTTGGGACACGCCTCTAATTTCCCAAACTTTTCTGTACTGCATGGGATGATATAAGCCAGTGATGAAATGCTAAGTAGGCACAGCTACTCTGGGAAAAAGCATGGAGAAGACCTGGTGGTCAAGCAGTACACACTTACTGAAGAAGATGTAGACCACACAAGGAAATCTCACCTCTCAGGGATAACCCTTGCTCTGCCCACCGTACATAGTATCTACCTACCTATCTATATGAAATATATTTTATGTTACGAAATAAAAATATATATGAAAATTTCAAATATACACAACAGTAGATAACAAACATCAATAATCCTCAATATTTGGGTGCATTTGTTTCATCTATCTCCCTTTTCCTTTCTCTTCTTGTTCCTTCTTGGGTTTATTAAATCTGAGGCACTGTATCATTACACTCCTATGTACTTCAGAATGCATCTCTAAAAAACAATGCCATTATCATATCTAACAATGTTAATAGGAGTTTCTTGGTATCATCTTCTATCCAGCTCATATTAATCACTTTTAATATAGAGCAATATCTCCTTCCTTTTTCCCCCATGTCTTTGACTTGTTGAAGTAACCAAGTCAGTTGTCCTATATAATGTCCCACATTCTAGATGTGTCTGTTTTTCCCTCCTGGCGTCATTTAATTTATTCTTGCATTTTCTGTGAGCTGGAATTTTCTCAGGACTCAATTAGAATCGAGCTCACCTTATTATTATTATTATTTGGTAAGAATACACTTCATAGGTGATGCTCTGTACTTCGTATTATACCGTATGAGACAGCACATAATGTGTGGTTGTCCTGCTCTTTGTTGGTTCAGTTGAGGCCAGCCTGAATTCTCCACAGTAAAGATCCTTGTCAGCCTTCCATTGATGAACTTCGCTAAATTAATGACGGTCATTATGATCTTCAAATTACAATTTCCTTATGCTATCATTCTTTCCACACAAATATAATTTTTTAAAAAGATAGGAGTGATCAACCCACATATTCACATAATGATTACTGTGCTATATAGAATTAGCCATATAAGGCCAGCAGATGACATAAAGGCTATTATAAATAGTACCTTGCAAAATCAAGTAATTATTTCTGGAGTCTCAAGAGAATCTAGATTCAGGGGACGGCAAGTAGTGGAAAAATTTCTCCAAAAGTTTAGAATATAAAATCTAGCAAGACAAAGCTTCCTATGTATCCAACAGTTCTGGTATTGCATGTGTTCTTTTGTTGGCTTGAGGACAAACAGTAGGAGCTGAGTTTCTCTACTGACCAAGCTTATCAACCGATTTTCCTCAGTCAACTGAGAAAGCAGTGAAATAATTTGGAGGTGGGAAGATGGAGCTCCCAGAATCCCAAGTCATTAGCATACAGGATTAGAAAATCTGGAAGGCCCAAACACCAAGGCTATGGATTCTGGGAATCACTAGATGTCCTTAAGAAAAGTCTTATGTTTGCTCCAATTTTCACTTTTCTTTTCCAGCTGAAGGTCACAGATGACCCCTTTCTCTTCTCATCTAGGGTGAGCCAATACAAGAGGAAAACTCTGACATGTCACCTAAAGAAAAGAGCCGTGCCTCAAAAATAGCCCCTTCAGGTTGTCTGAAATGATACCAGTTGCATACTTAAGTATAATAAATACCAACTCTGAGGGGTTTGGAGAGTTGTTAGTCATTCTGGGCTTAGAGTGAATAAAAATAAACTGTATTGCAACTTAAAGTATACTAAGCAAGGAGGAATATGTTTGTATTTCAATTTAAGGTAAAGCAGTCTTGGCTGGAGTAGATTAGGAGCTTTGTAAAACAGTGTAAGGCTTTTTTGCATTCTTGGGTTGGGGGACAGCGGAGGAGTCTGAAAGTTAGGCAATGAAAAAGTTTTGCTTGAAGCTTGTATATCCACAGCACAGGCTAGATGGCAGTTAGCACCCCTCAGCTAACGAGTTAGCTCCCTGTAAGGGTTGAAAGGCTGCTTCTCAGGGAGAAGAGCCATACTTGTAGTGTAGTGGAAACCATAAAAATGAAACGGGGGAGGGGGGGAATCAACTCTCAAAGATCTAGAGGAGAAGCAGTCATTTTAGTCTACAAGTGACGCAAGAAGATCAGAACTTTTGCATCCTGCAAAACAGAACTCAAGAATTATTAAGTGTCTATTACTACATGAACCACTAGCAGCATTTTCTCCCAAAGTCTTAACCAGTCTAACATCCAATAACTCAAACATTCCATTAATCAACAAATCATTTTTACCACAACGGCTTGCCATTGTGATTACTGTCCTAGTTACGGTTATAACCCTTATTATCAGAATTCACAGTAAAATCACCATTTGACAACCACATTTTCCCCAAACAGCTACAGGTCTTGAATCTGTCTAAGGAAGAATAATTTTCAGTTAGAAATATTTTTTGTAATCCTCATATCCAGCATAATTTCAGAAGCACTCATATTTCAACAAATGTTTTCTTTTCTACTTTTCATATTTCCTATATCCTAAATCACTGTTAAACTATATTGAACTCAAAAGAAAAAATTTTTTTCTCTCAAAAGCATGATTCATATTTCATTTAAAAAACATTTGTTTACACAGAATTGAGTAAGAAAACCCCGAACCAAGTTATTTACTTTTTTTTAACTGATTATTTCCTTTAAAAAATTAAATTGTGGTAAAAACCCCATAACATAAAATTTATTAATTTAACCATTTTTAAGCATACAGATCAGCAATGTTAAGTACATATATTCACATTTTTGCGCAACAGCCCTCTAGAACTTTCACATCTTGCAAAACAGATTCGGTACCCATTAAACAACTTCCCATTCCCCCTCCACCCATCTCTGCTAACCACCATTCTACTACATTTCTATGAATTTGAAATTTTAGATACCTCATATAAGTGGAATCACAGTGTTTCTATTTTGTGATTGGCTTATTTCACTTAACATAATTCCTCAAAGTTCATTGAAGGTATAGCATGTGACAGGATGTCCTTCCTTTTCAAGGTTGAATAATATTCCATTTTATGTATATACCACATTTTGTTTATGTGTTCATTGTCAGTGGATATTTGGGCTTTTGTTGATAATGCTGCTATGACTGTGCAAGTATCTGAGACCCTCCTTTCAATCTTTCAGATATGTACCCAGAAGTAGAAACGCTAGATCATATGGTAGTTCTGTTTTTTAATTTTTAGTAACTGCCATACTGTCCTCCACAGTGGTTGCTTCATTTTACATTCCCACCAACAGCGCACAAGGATTCTAATTTCTCCACATCCTCACCAACATTTGTTGTTTTCTGTTTTTTAACATCCTAATGAGTTGTGAAGTGAAATCTTGTTGTGGTTTTGATTTGTATTTCCCTACTGATTGGTGACACTGAGCCTCTCTTCATATGCTTTTTGGCCATTTGTGTATCATCTTTCAAAAAATGTCTATTCAAGTCCTTAACTATTTACTTTGAAGAGTAGAGGGGCAATTTTAAAGTTACTATCCAAATCAGGATTTCCATAAAAATTTACTATTATAAAATGGTTCAAGAGAGGTTATCTGAAGTTGGAATGCAAGTAACACAATGGTCCTCTTTTTAAATATCTATCATCCACTAGAAACATAACCCACAAATTCAAAAACTCAACAAGCAAAGCAAGTGATTTCACTTCCACATACATAGCAAATGTTTTGATCTTTTATTAAATTAATTTTGTTAGTGTGCTAAGTAGTCTTGCAATTCAGAATTGTTTACTCTTTTTTCTGATAGGTATGCATCAAATAATGGTAATTACCTTCTGGGGGTGTTACAATTATGATCCCTGGAAAAGACACTGAAACTTTGGAACCAAGGAGATATTTTGATTACAGTGGGGGTTTTTTGTATTAAGTAATCTTAAGTTGGGAAGTATTTAGTTCATGCTCTGCTATGCTTCTTAAGGGTATTTTCTTTTTGGTGCTCTGCTTCTATTAGTGTTTCTCAAAGTAAGATCCATAGACTACCTGCCCTGGGATCACCTGTCATGTGGAGGGGCGGGAATTGGTTAAAAAGGCAGATTTCTGGGCTCTACCCTGCTTTCCTCTTCTTGCTTGCTCTTCTATGATGGCACTTGACACATTATATACAGCAGGTCCTCGAATAATGTCATTTTGTTCAATGTCGTTTCGTTATAACGTTGAGATGCTGCAGGAAACTTACCTCTCGTTTATATCAGCTAGCCTATGGTCATTTCGCTTTAAGGGAGAACTTACCATATTTGATTACTGTCCATGTCCCCTCACTCAAATTTAAGCTCCTTAAGGGAACTGTTTTTTGCACTGTGGTATCCTTAATATCTACAATATAGTGCACATAATAGGTACTCAAATATTTGTGGAATGTTGATTAACAAATCTGTTATTGTTTGTTGATAGCATGTTAAAATCTATCAAACAATAGCATCTGATTTGGCATACATTTATGGAATTATTTTCATTTTTAATTAATATGTCAAATGTACTGTCAAGGTCACTATGCTTCCCGTTTGCCCTAATTTCTGAATGAGTCTGAAAATGACTGTTGTAGTAAAATAGAGATTTCATATCACTTCTATCCAAAATATTTCATGAATTTCTACTAACTACAGAAAAAAAGTCTACAATTTTTAGAATGGATCTGAGATGCTCCGTGATTTAGTGCCTGCCTGCCCCTTGAGCCTCTTCTACAACACTCTTCCCTGCAGGCCTCACTGAACTCTTGTACGTGCACTTGTCTGTCCCATTGCTTATACCTATCAGTCAGAAATGCTATCTACCCCTTTAGTCTGCCTAAATGCTACTCATTTTTTAAGGCATGGCTACAGGTCACCTCCAGATAAAGCTTTTCCCCCAAATGCCATAACTGAATGAATTCAACTGTCCTGTGTGTTCCTCAAGTTTGGATTTGGTATAGCACTTTGCATACATTAACGGTCTGTGAGAACGTTTTACTGGATTTCCATGGAATTAATTTTGAGGTAGGATGTACCTTACCAGCTGCAAAATCTGGTTCAGGGTCACTAGCACTGTCGCCATCACTGCCCTCCAAAAGAATCTTCCTCTGCTGTACCTCAGCTTTAGATGCTGCTTTTCTCCTCCTTTGAGCACCATGAAAATCATCTTCCTCAGTAATCTTGTCCAAATCTCCAGAGCAGGCATAAAAATCAATGGAAAATACTCTGTGACAGGCAATATTTAAAGAACTGAGAGTAGACTCCTACTACATCTGCTGTTTTTATTTGCCCAGCTTCATCCTTCCTCTGCTTCTAGTAATACACCACAGAGCCCAATCTGGGCCAATCATGACACATCTGTCTCCTGGCAACAGAGTCTGGTTTAAGAATAAGTCCAAGACCCAAAATGAGAGAGTCTTTCCCCAAGAATTTTCAAACTGGAGCTGGGAAGATAACAGCCCTTTTCTTCAGTGGTCAACTGCTGTTGATTAGGAGCCATGGGGTAGGTACTCCTGACCCTTCACCAGGGAAGAAATTGGGTCTACAGTAAAACAGAGGAAAACCAAAACAGAAAGAAACAAAGACAAGAGATGAAGAGAACTTTGACAAAATTAAAGACCTTGGTTCTAGCTACAGTTTCAGGAATTTAAATACAAGTTAGAAAAATAGCATTGTTGTAGTAGGTAAATATTATTATCACTATAAAAAACTTACCTAAATAATCACTGGCTACACTGCAATTAGAAATACGGGGAGGCTTATCAGTTGTTTCTGTTTCACTATTGCCACGTTTTTCACTGCCTAAATATAAGGAAGAGAGGTAAGAAAAAACAGATGTACCTTAATCAATCAATGTCTAGAAGTAGGAAGATTAGTGCTAAATGTAACAGTATCCAGATACATATAAATGATCCAAACTCAAACTAGCACTTTACTTGGAGAGGCTAGCATAGTGTTAGGAGTTTGGGCTCTGAAATCAGAGTTAATCAGACTTAAGTCCAAAGCCAGGCTCTACCACTTAAACTGGCTATATGACCATGGGAAAGTTGCTTATCCTTTCTAAGACTCAATTTCCTCATTTATAATATGGAGATAAAAATAGTATGGGGATTAAATGGGGTTACCATGTGGGATTAAATGTCAATCACAGGGGAAAATTGTTTACTGTAGTGTCCAATACATAGGAAATAGTCAATAAATATTAACTATTATTTCTGTGTAGGCAGATTCGTTTTCACTAGCATACTCTTCAGTAGTTATAATAACCTTAAAATGATCATTTGTACTGTTAAATCCCCATGCTATAAAGTATACTGTTCTACAAGAAGTGGACTTCCAAGGAAATTCTGCTATACATTCTACAATCTCTTATAGGAGAGAGACGAATTTTACTTTCTCAATTTTAGATATGATAGTTCACTTTTTAAGTTTCTTTGATTCCTGGACACTAAAAGGCCCCCTAATCAATAAATACTATCTCATTTATTTTCAAATAGGCAATACTGATTTAAAAATCTAAACCCCTGCCCGGCCGGGCGTGGCTCAGCGGTTGAGCATCGACCTAGGATCCAGGCGATCAGGGTTCGATTCCCGGTCAGGGCACATGTCCGGGTTGTGGGCTCCATCAATGACTCTCCCATCATTGATGTTTCTATCTCTCTCTTTCCCCTCTCCTTTCTTCTCTCTGAAATCAATAAAAACATATTGAAAAAAAAAAATCTATACCCCTATGTAAAATAATAGGCTAAAAATATCCTTCAACATAAAGGAAGTTAAGCCAAAATAATTTAATCCAAAAAGCATTTTAGAAGTTTGAATGTCTTTTCCAGCAATGATTTCTGCCTCTCCAGAACATCACTGCCATCTGCTGTAGTTGCCAGAAAGATCCAGAAACCAGAGATCCATTAAGTCTACTGAGCTGGCTAACCAAGTTAATACCTTTAGCCTCTGTAAATAATAAAAATTACCATTATTAGGTCATGTTTAACTAATTTGAATTTTGAGAGAAAAGAGGTAGATTGTGAGGACTATAAAGATCAATTCATTTGATCAAAAAATGAAATTTTCACTGTATACAAAGATGTAATTTGAACATGCGAGCTCATAGTCCATGTCCTCAAGTTTACTTTGGGTGTTAAGTAGAGATGTATGTATGTATGTATGAGATGTATGCAACAAAATGAACAATTGAATCCAATTATACCCTCTGCAAATTGTACTATTTATAGTTCAAGATATTAACATTTTATTCTTTCCTCCCTAAAGACTCATCCAAAGAAATGATTACAAAAGCAATAAGAAATTTACAGAGATAAATATGGTTACTTTATTTTAGAGAAAATAAAGTTACTTTTACCTTGAGACCCCTCCACATCAATGATGACTGTTGGAAGTTCCCTCGCTGATAATGCCAGCGCGACTTCTAAGTCTCTCTGGTAGAGCTTGTCATCTAAAACCATTCTAGAGTAGATACACAAATAATAATGAATTTTTAAAATTATCAATCTCAATTAAACAGAAAAATTTGAGATTTTCCTGAATTATTATTTTAAGAATTGTTAACCTCACACAAATGTTTTTAAACAATAATCACAATCATAACTGACCTTTAAGGGTAACTTCTAAAATGTCACAATGGCATGTTATATCTAGTGTAGGAGGTTTGAAACAGGAGCAGTATGTCTGTTGCATGTACTGTTTCCTTTCACTATCTGTCCTTTCTACCAGTTCCACCCAGGTGGGAAGCACCTGCTCAATCCAGAATAAAGACTTGGCTCAAACATCATTTCCACTTAGAAATCTTCCTTGAACTCACCCACACCAGCTCAGACAGCTATTCTAGGTCTTATATTTTAAAAATGTTTACATTTATTCCTCCCAATCTAAGCTTTAACAAATATTTCACCAAGTTCTTACTGTGTATGAGGTGCTACACTAGATAGGATACAAAAGTACAGTAAAACCTCAATATAACGGACTAATTCGGGTGAGAGGCTGTCCATGAAAGCCAAAAGTCCGTTACATAATAAAGTAGGCTTTCTGAATTTGTACATTAAAAAATTAACAAATTAGTTTACCTGTTTTCACTTAAGTAGACACATTTGTGTAATTAAAATTAAGTATGTATGAAAAGTTTAATCTCACAGAAAAGTTTTCTCTAAGTATTACTGTAATTTTGAATTTATACTGAATAGGTTTAGTAAATGCATGCATTCACCAGTCACCGTGAGTAAACAAATGCACACGGCTGGGGCGTGGCTTAGCCCACTCAAAACAACAGCCCACATACGTTAAATCTGCTACAGAAAGTCACCCCACTCGACAACTGAACCAATCACGAGAGATGTGGTGTGATCACGTGCTAATCATTCGCCAAAGATCATTTACAAGCTGCGACTCTTGGATTTAATATGTAGACTATAGTTATAGATATGGCCTGTTTGCTGAGATTTGTTAAAAATAACATTGAATTAATAACAAAAAATAACCTGTTATTTTAATTACAAGCAAATCTTGGTTAAAAGCATTTTAAATTTAACAGGGTGTTAATTTTCACATATGAAATACAGATCGGAAATTTTGTCCATTAAATCGAGGTCTGCAAAATCGAGGAGTCTGCAATTAATGAGGAGGGTAGGGAAATAAGACATACTTATAATTATCCCACATACGCAGATTATGACGTCTCCTATTCAAGGTGGTGAAAAGTGCGATGGTGTGAAAGAGGAAGAGAAATAAAAAACAGATCAGGAAAGGTTGCATAAAGAAGGAAATACTGAGATATACCTTGAAGGATTTATTATTTTTTTAAAATAGCAATTTTTTTGAGACATAATTCACATAGCAAAAAATTCATCCTTTAAAGTGTACAATTCAGTAGTTTTTAGTATAGTCACAGAGTTGTGAAACCATCACAACCTTTTTATCACCCCCCCAAAAGAAACCCTGTATCCATTAGTATTCACTCCCCAATTACTGATACCCAGCACCTGGCAACCACTGATCTACTTTCTGTTCTTATGGACCTGTCTATTCTGGACACTTTGTATTAGTGGAATCATAAAATATGTGGCCTTTTGTACCTTGCTTCTTCCCATCAGCATAATGTTTTCAAAGTTCATCCATGCTGTAGTGTATATATCAGTGCTTCATTTTTGTTGCTGTTGCTAAATAGTATTCCACTGTATGGATATACCTCATTATCTTTCATCAGCTGATAGACATTTGGATTGCTTCTACTTTGGGACTATTCTGAATAATGCTGCTACATTAATGTACAGGTTTTTGTGTGGGCACAGGCTTTCATTTCTCTTGGGTATGTGCCTAGGCTGGGCCATGTAATAACTCTGAGCTTAACATTTTGAGGAACTGCTCCTCTGTCTTGCAGTGCAGGCGCACCATTTTACATTCCCAGCACAACGTATGGGGGCTCTCTCTAATTCCTCTTCACCCTCCTTAACACGTGCTGTGTTGGTCTTTTTCTTATGGCCACCCTTGTGGGTATGAAGGGTTATCTCACTGTAGTTTTGATTTGCATTTCCCTGATGACTAAGGATGTTGAGCATCTTTTCATGTGCTTATTGGCCATTTGTGTTTTGTTTGGGTTTTTTTTTGAGAAATGTCTACTGAAACCTTTTGCCTGGTTTTTAAACTGGGGGAGAGGAGAGAGACAGAGAGAGAAACATCGATGTGAGAGGGAAACATCAATCGGTTGCCTCCCATATGCGCCCCAACAGAGGATCAAACCCCCAACCTACGTATGTGCCCTGACTGGGAATTGGGAATTGAATCTGCAACCTTTTGGTGTACAGGACAATATTCCAACCAACTGAGCCACCCAGCCAGGATTGTGAATTTCTATTTTAAGTCAGAAAGCCAGAAGGGGATTAATGGTACAACCCTGTTCTCCTACAAGTATTAAACAAAATCATACCTATGACTCTGCTTGAGCTCTCATTTAAAGGGAGTTCAAATCTGTTTCTCTTTTCAATTAACATATTATGTCATACATTTACTGTATGTCTTACCTCTCACCTTTTTTTAGTTTTCTCTTGTAATGGGATGTCTTCTTTCTGGAGATTCTTCAATTTAGGTTTTGGTTTTTCTACTTTTAACTCGTTTGGTGTTGTTCTGGATTTCTTTTTTAAAGGTGCAGTCGCAGAAACAAAATCATCTATTTATGTGTGAATCAAAAATAAAAGAACATATAAAATTGCTTTTTCTAAGTAAGAAATAAAATTATTTTCTTAGCAGTTGAAATTCATTACAGTATATGTTCAAATTATACGGTTAAGCAAATTATTCAATTTCCACAATTTAAAAAATATTCGTATATTGTTTGTCTTTATTCTCACTCATGTTTAATTTTGTTTCAGTGAAATTTATTATTAAAATATCAATCTATCAAAAGCCAATTCACTAAAAAGCTGATGTATCTCTGTTGACACTCAACATAAAACTGCTGCTGTAGCTTTTAAACTCACACATGACACATGTATGTACACTTCAGGGTACATGTAGTCTTAATCATAAACTATAGCATTTATAAATACATGCTGTATGTATATGCTTCTTCACAGAAGAATATAGTAACTTGTGACTTGCCCCCACCACTATCCTATAATGTCTAGAACACAACTGGCAATTTATAAATATTTGGTGTGAGATGGATGACAGTGATGAAAAGCTTACAAATTCTATATTATTTTCTCCTAAGTCTAAGACCCACTTAAGGTTGTACCCAAGACAAAAAAACAGATTCCTTCAAACCTCAGAGTTACTAAGTATTTGACTCACAGAAAGCTCTGGTGGTCTGAGAAATACAAAACCTGCTTCAAAGTATAATGTCATCTGACCCCATATTTCTCAAACTATTTTTTTATTAATTAAATTTAGTGGGATGACATTAGTTCACAAAACTATACAGATTTCAAGTGTACAGCTCAATAAGACATCATGTGCACACTGCATCATGCGCCCATCACCCCAAGCAAAGTCTCTTTCTGTCCCTATTTTCTGGCCCTTTGCCCACCTCTACCTAGTCCCCACCTCCCTTTCCTTCTGGTTATCACTACATTGTTGTGTGTGTCTATGTTTTGACCAAAGTTCCCTTAATAGGAGAGACAAGTAAGTACATAACCATATAGGATATAGCTTATGCCTAACCTTTCTTCAAGGTCTTATTTGATTGTACAGTTTTTCCCATGATATTCTGTAACACACTTGTGTCTCAAAAAAAAAAAAAAAAAAAAAAGTCTCTCCTCTAAAGTAAGGAGTCAAAACCTCACTTTGAGAAATGTGGACTTAAAGTGGTTTGACCTAAAGAACTACTTTACCTGGTCCTCTCATTTATTACTTACCTGCGTAATTCTTGTCATCATAATTATCAGCATAATTATATCAAATGCTAAGAAAATTATTTTTCCAGACCTACCTCATATGCAATTGGGTAATATGTTCAACATTATGTATACATATATATATACATACACATATATACACACATTTATATGTATATATATCATATATATTTCTGAGGAATTAAATTTTCAGATCTTTAAAACAAAAAAAAAAGAATCCCTACGTACCATCGCTGTCGGAGTCCCCAGACTGTGAGTAATTGACTGGTTTCTTATTCCTATAACCAACACAGAAATTTTTCATTTACACAAATGTGAAAAAAATAATTTCCTTCCTCCTTCCTCTAGTAATTAAATGAAATAGTATTCTAGTTTTCATTTCCACTTTCTGCCAAATTCCCAAGTGTGAATAACCTAATGTCAGTTGTTGTTTTAAGTAAAAATGGTTTTCTATGAAAAAGAAACTAGTTCAGCTCATGTCTCAAACACTCTCACAAGTGTTTTTCCTGAAGACAATTGTAGAAATTTTCTGTGCTTATTTCTAATTTCCTCATACAGAATATTAAAATAAAGCGTACTCCTGTTACTCCCCTACTCTTTGGAATTAAAGAATTTGAGAGCTGAATATAGAAACCCCATTAGAAATTATGAAATTGAATAATAGTAAAATAAAATCAACACTTAAAGATAGTATGTTCAACGGTTGAGCTATAATAATATAATTCTTACTGCTTCATCAAGCACACTCAAGTGAAACTGGCCTTTTCTTTTCTTTTCTTCTCTTTTCTTTCTTTTCTTTCCTTTTTTTACTCTGAATGTATAGCAGTAAAGAACACAATGACTGCTCCTACAGTTTGGTGCCATTGCCTTGATTTGTGCTAAGGCACCAGCCATTTGACCACCATTGCAGTGCAAACGACAGAGCAATGAAAAACAGCAAATGATTTAGGATTATACTGAAAATAGTTTTGACCTCATGGACCTCCTGAGAGGGTGTCAGGGACCTGAAGGGGTCTGCAAATCATACTTTGACAACTGCTATTCCAAACAAAGGGATTATGTCTTCCCTACTTGGGTGTTAAACTTAACATGTTCAAACAGAATTCTTGATCCCCCCACCTCCTGAACCTGTTCCTTTTCCTAGTCTTCCCCACCTCAGTTAGTGCAAAGCTCAACCCTTCAGTAGCTCAGGCCAAATATATTGTACAGTCATCCATGATTCTATTTTCCCTTACCTCCACATCCACTACATCAGCAAGTTCTGTCAGCAGTACCTCCATACATCCCAAATTCATCTACTCCATTCTATGTCCACGGATAACACCCTAATCCAAACCAGTACCCAAGGATATAATAGCTTCCTAACTGGTTTTCCCGCTCCCCTTCTGGTTACCGGGTCTTCCATTCATTCTCCACCAGTCAACTATATAAAACCAAAATTAGATTTCTCCCCTCTATTTAAAACTCTCTAATGACTTTCGATTGCACTTAGAATAAAATTCAAACTCTTTCTAAAGCCTACAAAGCCCTACCTGCTCTGGTCCCTACCTACTTCTCTGACTTAATCCCCTACAATTCTCCCACTGTTTGCTAATGCTACAGCTTTAGTGACCTTCTTTCTGTCCCTCAAACATGGTCAAGCTCAGGGCCTTGGCTCTTATTCCCTGGACTGCCCGATTTCCATTGGCTATCTCCTTCTTGTCCCTAATGCCTCAGTTCGGAGAGGCACATCCTATGTACCCTATTTAAACTACAGCTTTCCTCCTCACTCTCACAGTTCCATGTTTATCGTTGGCCCCCTAAACTCACCCCTTGACTACAATGTAACCACCTGCACCTACTACAATAATGTATAGAAGTAAATATATTCCATAACTTTACTTAATGAATGGCTGACCCTAGGCCTCAAATGCTAAGTAGAGGAATCGTTTCAAACAGTATAGTGGAAAGCACGGAGGATCTGGAGCCAGGTGACATAGGTTTGAGTATTATCCTGCTACTCACTAGCTTTGTGACTCAGGTAAACTGGCCTTTATGCCTAGTTTAAATCGATAAAACAGGAGTACCTAAACTGCTGTATCAAGATCTATAGTGATGAACAAATGAAATACCACTCTAGCAGGAGCTCAGTGAAATGCAAAGTGCTCTTCCATGCTACAACAAGGTCTTATTTGAATGGGGAGGGTAAAAGAAACGTCGACAGCTGCGAAGGGAAGCAAGGAGATGGAAAAAAGAGAGGCTACGTCTGAGGAATGAGTGAGAGGTTGGAGAGTTTACCAGTAACCGTCCATCCCACCCCAGCACCGCTACCCTCCGCTCTATTGAGCCCTTTACTCTCAGTCTTGTGTAGCTGAAGGGGCCTACAGCGCTTTCCTGCTCTTTCTCCCCATCTCCGCCGGATGTCCCGAACCACTACTCACCGCACAGGCCGCACCATGGCTCTCTCCAAGGCTGGGTATTTGCAGCTATCAAGCTGTAGCTGGTAGCCGAGGCGGCTTCAATTCCCGCCCAAATCCAGACCCCGGAGCTCTCCGCCCCCTGCCACCAGTCCTCCAATGAGTACCGCCATCCTTACGCATGCGCATGCGTCCTAAGAAGCCCGAGTCCGCTCCCTCCCTTCCCAAGACCTTGCTCTTCCGCTTCCGGTCTACCCGAGCCGGGTCTGTACTTTGCCGGCACAGTTTCGCCACGACAGTGGCTTTTTGTGCGGACTCTGAAATACGCAATAACAGTAGAAATATTCCTTCTTACACTTTTAAAATGACTAAGCTGAAGCATGGTGAAACAAGGAAGGGGCACTTAGATCGAGGAATTTTCTATAGGGTTCCAGGAAAGGAAAAGGTGTGGGCGAATCGGCCGAAGCGGATTTGCTGGCTGTAAAATCAAGTCGGCGAGTCAGCTGATGTTCCCCGTGCCGCGGCTTCTTGACAGTCCGAGAGTGCGGACCCCTCGGACTTCGGTACTTGGGGAGGTGAGTCCAGAACCAAGAGCGAGGATGCCCCTTCAGAATGAAACCCCCTGCTAGGGCGGCTGTCCCCTCAGTCGGCTGGAGCTTCGCGGCCCCGCAGTCAGCCCTCGGAATCTCCGCTCCATTGGCGGTATGAGTTCGGTCCTGCCCTGCTCCTTCCATCCCATTTTTGCTGGGGAATCCTTCTTTGATTTCACTCCTGCAAAAAAAAAAAAAAAAAAAAAAGGGAAAGAGAACTAAATACTTCTGTTGAAACAGGTCTGAATGGTGAACCGACTGAAACTAGGGCTAATGGTTATTATTTACGAAAAATTTTAGCCAAGGCAAAGCATTCAGAAAGGTTGGGGGTGGGAAAAGAGGTTGGTATTGAAAGGAGTTCAGTATCGCTGGGAAATAAAGTTTGCACATTTGTGTCTTGGGA